AAATGGAGAATATTTATGTAGTTTTAGAGGTACTTTGTATATTTAACAAGGTCTTCATCTATTTTGCTTGATTTTTTTCTTCTTCATTAAGGACCAAATATTTATTATTCAAGTAAAAATTAAGCCTGGGAGTTCCAAAGGAGCTTTTTTTCAAGAGGCAACTGGACTTCCTTGTTTTTCCTTGAAGATGCTTCTCATCCAAGAAGCAAATGACCAGCTGTCTGCAAGGAGTATAAATCCTTCCATACCCCCCACCATCCAGTCAGAGTTGAAAAAGCTACTTGGATGAGAAGCGAAATGTCTTCGAAGAAAAACAAGGAAGTCCAGTTGCCTCTCAAAAAAGTACCTTTGGGACAACCATGACCTGGATGACTGAGAATCTCCGTAGACATAAACCTGAGAGTAAAAACCCGAGTAAGAACTAAGCCTCCAAAGGATATGGTTCCCACTTTTGCAAAACTATGGAGAACATGCTTTTCCTTCGTTGTGAAACTTTGTGCTTCCTGAAAGGTAAAGGAGGTGGAAACAGATACATTTTGAAGTGACTGACTGTTGAAGCAGCTCTCTATTATCGTACATGGCAGCCTCAATGGCTAGAACATCAACTGCATTTATGTGTAGTTGATGAGCAGTGTCTAAGCACCGATATTAAGATAATATCTTAATGTCTTTAGTATAGCTTCCTAGGCACTTTAGTCTTTGAGGAGGATGCTGCTGCCAATAATAAAACATTTAAGTTCTGTTTTAATATTACATGTACCATATAGTATTTAAATTACTATATCTATTGTTGCTGAATGCCAGATCCATCTGTAATAATATTACTTTTTTTCATAAGTTGGTGGTAGATGAACAAATAGATCTAAGGCAGGGGTGTCAAACTCAATTTCATTGAGGGCCGCATCAGCATTGCAGTTGCCCTCGGGGCCGGGTGGGTGTGGCCAGGGTGGGTGCAGCCTACTGGGTGGGCGTGGATGGAGTGGGTGTGGCCTGGGTGGGTGTGGCCAGCTCTACATCGTTCGTGTCAAGGGGGCCTGTGGGGGCCTGGGCAGGAGTGGGACAGATCTGAGGGTCTCTGGCAGAAGGGGGTGGGACCAGGGCAAGTGCCAAGGCATGGTCCACTGGAGGAGCCTCACCGTTCGTTTCAGGCCATGCAGGGGGGGGGCGCTAATGGAGCTAAGACTGAATGCGTTTCAGCATAGATGGCCACCACAAAATTGTACATTGGCTCCCGGCTGGCTTGGGCCAGGGCCAAGGAGAGGGGGCCATTCCCTCACTGTTTCCAAGATGGCTTCGCGGGCCACATGAAATCACTTCGCAGGCCACATCCGGGCCTTGTGTTTGACATGTCTGATCTAAGGTATATATTGTTGGAGAGAAAAGGGCTATGGTCCTCTTGAAGATTTCTCCTCCCTGAGTTTTGTGTCTGATAGCAGCAGCAATGCCAGGGTTTGAGGGTGGTTGTGCTCTTAAGAAATAATTTATCTTGTGACCAGGGGTCTTACTTTTGAGATGGTGTGGTGTAAATGTCTGTGCATTCAGCTGAACTATATGGACAAGTTAAGGATCCCACTTGGCTGACCCAAGAAGATATAATCCTCTTGGATTTCCTCACTGGACATGTTGGTGTTTTCATTACTATTTGTCTTACAAGCTTTCAGTCTCTGTGCCTTGGAGAAGAGTCTAGGAAGGCTCAGTAACTCACGAATATGGGATAAAATACATTAAGTCCACAACATCCAGATAACATTTGCAAGTGGGTCAGACAAACACCTCCCTAATTCATTGAAAAGTAAGGAGAAGGTACAACATAATCAGATGTGCCAGATTTTGTTATAGTTAATTTCAATAAAAGTAGTTTTAGCCTTCTGGTGGAGTTGATTTCTTGGCTTTTTTTAGAAAATCCTTGGCAGTTTCAACAAGTCCCTTTTATAAATCCAATGTAGAGGAATAATCCACAGCATTCTTCCATGTGTATGTCTTTTTCATATATTAAATCATAATTTAGTTTCTTATAGGCTAACATTTTTGAATCCACCAATTCAATTTCAGTTTTATTCAATGGGCTTGTTCCTCTTCAGTATCATCTTCTAATTCTTCAGTAAAATAAATAGCTTCCTGAAACCCATTCATTGTAGATCTCGCTTAAAGTGTCCAGTAGTGTCCAACCTTCAAAGTTATCAGTTGTTTACAAATATATAGATATTTTCCTATAGGAAAGGGTTCTTTTAATTAACTTCAAAGTCTTAAATAAGTTCATTTATATTCTTAATCTGTTAAAAACTTTCTGAAGTCAATACTAAACATCCTTTTGCTATAGGTTCCCTCCAATTTTTAAAAAATCTTTGAACTTGTAGTTAAAACTTATTTTTTGAAGGATTAAACAGAATTCAGTGATTTCAATAAGACCTGCTGATGTGAAGGTTCTCAATCTTTAAGCAATAAAATTAAATAAATAAATTCAAAATTATTAAGAGGTGAACCTCAATTGAACCTAAAGTCCATATAGCAACCTAAAGTCCATTAGCAACTATAAGTTCAATGAATTCCTAGTCAGTCATAAGTTGATCACAAAAACACAGTTCCTGCCATCTTCTCACAAAAAACGAACTATACAGAGTAAATGTGGGTAATCTTGAGCTATCTGCTTTCTCCAAAGAGATTTTGGCAACCTACATCCGGCATCAGTTCATCATGGTGCTCACCAAAAGTGTCTCCTTGTTTTCTGACAGTAGGTCTAATTAAAGAAACTCTGTGATTCATGTTTCCCTGGTTGTGCTCTGTTATTAAGGATTTGATATTAATTATTGATCCTGGAAACTATAAACTTCTTAATGTATACTTACTCAGGGAGAGGTTGCTTAGGGTCGTCCACATATAAGAAAGGGAAATGGGGTGAGGGTGCAGAAATTTTGGGGTTTTTTTGGCAGCCTCCTCTTATGGAATATTCCTGTATCAGTGTTCTAGTCAGCACACAATCCAATCTTTCAGAGACCTATGAAGACAGCTTTTCTGGAGGGCCTCTGAAGTCTATTTTTTTTGCAGTTATTAAGTGACGTTGGCATCAAGTGTATCTTTGTGTCATTTTATGGCTATATTACAGTGATTTATTTGTTACAATTTTATTTCTTGATTTTATTATATGTTTAGTTTTAATGGTTTGTAAACCACTGAGAATCACTTCAAATTATATGGTTTTAAAATACAGTAAATAAATATCGTTATCACTGAAGCAACCTAGAACTAAGGAGAAACTTCCTGACACTTAGAACAATTAATCAGCGGAACAACCTGCCTCCAGAAGCAGTGAATGCTCCAACACTGGAAGTTTTTAAGAAGAGACTGGATAGCCATTTGTCTGAAATGGTATAGGGTTTCCTGCCTGAGCAGGGGGTTGGACTAGATGACCTCTAAGGTCCCTTCCAACATCATCATCATCATTATTATTATTAAACAGAATACAATTGTCCATGGTTTAAATTAAATTAAATTGTAGGAGATGACCAGGCTGAGCCCAAGGTAGGGGTCAAATGCATCATCCGGTTCAAGTCCCTTCACGCCCACAACTGATCTTAAATTCCATTGATGCTTATCTACCGCCTGTTGGCTTTGACCATTAGTAAGTTCTCCTGCTCAAGCAGGGGGTTGGACTAGAAGACCTCCAAGGTCCCTTCCAACCCTTCTATGTTCTATGAATGTTCTGTTCTAATTCAGATTCTTGTAGAGAGCATAAGTTTGCAAGAAACCTTTATATTCATTTGAACTGCCTGGACTCCTGATTTCCCATGCTTGACGTAAACAATATTATTCAAAAACTTTGAAATATTATATACATATATCCATTCTCTCTATATATTGTACTTCTAAGAATAATATATGTTCATTTCATTGCTTTTTCTTAACTTTTTTCATAAATTCTTTAGTTTTTATTGCTAGATGATGAATTTATGTGTTTGTGACAGGTATAGGTTTGTTAGATTTTTCATCATGAAAGGTGGATAAGGTAAAGGATATCTGCGCGAGTAATACCGAAATAAAATTTGGCAGACCAGACATAAACACAATATTAAATATGAACATGCCAAAGGGTTGTGTTTCACTTAGACAAGTTTCAGTTTACCAAAGAGCAGGGCTTTTTTTCTCATAGAACGCCCAGAATGGAGTTCCGGCACCTTTTTTGGATGGAACCTTGTAGGGTAGGCAAGGCGGGTTGTATGATGTGTGGGAGTTCTGGCCCCTTTTTTTTTTTTCCCCCAAAAAAGCACTGCCAAAGAGTAATCTTGAGTATTAGAAATCTGAAATATCTGTTAGTTTTCTTAACAATTGTGTGTTTGAGCATTTAGGCTAATAATATTTTAAGAGCTTAGCTCGAGCCATTTTGCTGCTAGTTTGCTTGTGATGCAACTGTAAGATTCCCCCCCCCTTTAATTACACGTAGTCCTTGATTTATGACCATAATGGAGCCTGCCCATTACAGTCATAAGTTGAGACAGTTGTAAAGCAGTTCATCACATGCCCAACCCAAATTTATGACATTTTGTAGCAGTTATTAAGCAAATCAGCATGGTCATTAAATGAATTTACAGTCATTAAGTAAATGTCTTATTCACTATAGGGCATTTTGCCAAAACCGAAAGTAACATAGGTTTTCAGCAAAACCATCATAAATTGTGGTCACATAATGGCTATAAATGTGAGCCAGTTACTGGGTGCCCAGAATGCAACCATGTGACCGGGGGGTGAGGGGGGAACCTGGCCATTGGAATTTTGTAACTGGGTAATAAGTATGTTTTGGGGGAGTTGTATGACAAGAACTACCTGTATTTTACCCATGGCTAAAAATAATCATTGCAAATATTTACATAATGTGTATATTTTTCTTTTTGTAACAAATCAGACATCAGACATTTTCTAGACAATTACATGCTTGATTTAAATAAAAGTTTAAAGTTATAATTTGTGTTATTACTGATAACATTTTCTTTTTCTCTTTTGGGCAGCCATCAGTTGAATCAGCAAGCCCAGGTAATGTTTTATTTTAATATTCACTAAACTGGAGAAGATCTTTATTCAAGTTCATTTTGATTATGTACATATTATAGAATGCACAGTTGTTGCTATAATTAACTACACTGAATTTTATTTAAAAGAATCTGTGTTCCATGCTAAAAGGCAGTTTGATCTCAAGGGATCACTTCTAACGATCATTACATGCTCGACAAATATTAGGGCTGTACAAAGCTTTTGAATGAAGTGCTTCACAATGTGCTTTCTCCTCAGTAAAGCAGCTGTGCATGCAGATAGCTAGGAACAGCTTTGGAATCAACTATACTACACTTGCAGAAGATTGTTGCTTTAATAATTTTAGGAGAGATGTTTCATTTGAATGTTTTGCATAGCCCTAACAAATATGCCTGTGTTATGTTGCTCTTACATATTTCTATAAATGTGCCTTTGAACTAGAATTTGGAAAATATGATGCATGTATGGCATTATCTAACAAATTTGAGATTAATGAAAGAATGCAGTTTTTTAAAAATGAAGACTTATTATGCCATAATTAAGGTCAAGTGCCAGCATGAATAATGTTATCCACTTGTAACAGAATTGTATTGCAGGTTTATTGATTCTTTATTGATTCTTGGGTAATACACACATTTTTGATAAAAGATTAACCTTTTCAAGACCTGCTTAATTAACAAAAGAGATCTCACTTGTATTTTGTATCTTTGTATATAATTTAGAAGTCTTAAACAGAGGCAGCAACTAGCCTACTCTGACTGATCTCAAAAAGCTAAACAGGTTCAGATCTGGTTAATATTTGGATGGGAGACCATTAGGAAATCCTAAGTCAGGAAGTTTTAAAAAAGTCAGGAAATATTTTCTCATAACTCTCTGTATTCAAAAAAACGCAAATCACAAATTATGTGTTATATTCAGAAATATAACTTTCATAAATAAGTATCCAATAGAGGAGAATATATGTAGCTCAGGGCTGAACTATGTAATCCTTAATAATGCCTACAATGAAATAAAATGTCTGCAAGCAAACAACTGAGCTCAGAGAGCACTAAGGACTCTATAAAGGATATATTTAAATTCTGTCCATAGCAATAATGTATTTGAAATCTTATGTGTTAAGGAATCATAAAGAAATTGACAATTTGGTAAAATCATAATAAAATATTTTGTTGTAATATAACTTTATAAGACCTTGATTAGGTTTTTTTCCCCTTATATTTGGGGATTAGCTGAGCTGATACTAAAAACAAAGCCATTCACTTGAAATGACTTTAAGTCCTATAAAGAATGGTTTTAAGTCATTTGGATTGATTAGCCTTGATAAAACTGGGTGTGGCAGGAATGGCTGGGGTAACATTCTTCAAATATGTAACAAGAAGTGACACAGATAACCAAAATACATTCTGTATTATTCCCAGGTTCAGAACAAAAAAATAAAATAAATTCAAAATAAAATAAGACAAATTCTGATTCACTATTAGAAAAATTCTAATTATCCAAAGGATATGTGGGATCACCTTTGCTGGTTGTGTTCAAAGATACCTTAACAATCATGACTGGACCACTATAATTTGATATTTGGTACAGAACCTAAATGCTCCTTTCAACTCATATTCAACACCTCTTACATTTCTTCTACATAATCTGAGAAACCTTGAAATAAAGCTGTTACATAAAGTCAGTTCTTATGTTAATATCATAGATTATGATATGGAGCATGAGTTTAATTAGAATAAGTACTTGCATGTAATTGTCATTATTGTCTATGTAAATGTCACAAGAGTTTAGGGAGCTGCTATGCTAGCCAAAATAATAATACATTTACTCTGCATATGCATAATGAAGGCTTTGGGCTTTCCACTGAGCTTTTTTAGATGATCAAAATGAGAATATTAGGAAATAGTTTTGATAAAAGAGCACAATACAAATGTACTAATCTAGTTGGAAAAATGTTAAAACATGGATATGGAGTAAACTATATAGTTATTGTGTGCAAAGATTTCATTGATTCTTAATAATTGATATATTGTTATTACTCTTACCCTATTCAACAGAAACATTAATTTGTATATGTGTCTGGAAAGGGACTTGCAGAACTCTGGTAAAAGGGTTTAAGAGGTGACAGCAACATTTTGGAAATGCAATTTTAGCTTTATGCCAGGTACGGGTTGTGCAGCCCAGATTTTTGCACTTCAGATAATACAGAAATCTAAGTGAGCAGATTTGTTAATGCAGAGAAAATGTAGAATAAAGTGGATAGGCTTTAAATTTCAAAATGTTTTGAGGAAATGAGGAATTAAAGGTAGTTTCTGAATGTGTAGTATAGAACGGAAGCAAAGCAAGCATGGGAATAAAGAGAATGCTTCAGGAATAGTTAGCATTGAGCAGAGGGTAATAGAATAACAGAGTTGGAAGGGACCTTGCAGATCTTCTAGTCCAACTTGCTGCTCAAGCAGGAGACCCTAAACCAGGGGTCTGCAACCTTGACAACTTTAAGACTTGTGGACTTCAGCTCCCAGAATTCCTTAGCCAGCATAGCTGGCTGAGGAATTCTGGGAGCTGAAGTCCACAAGTCTTAAAGTTGTCAAGGTTGTAGACCCCTGCCCTAAACCGTTTCAGACAAGTGGCTGCCCACTCTCCATTTAAAAGTCTCCAGTGATTGAGCACCTACAACTTCTGAAAGAAAATCGTTCCACTGGATAATTGTCCTCACTGTCGGGATTTTGCAAAGATAAGACTAGAATGTAAATGTAAATGTAAAATTAGAATTTTAAGGTAAGGTTAGAATGTGTGAAATCCTATTGGTTATTTAATGTATTGATGGAGATACAAGAAATGCTTGTGATAATAGAGGTGTTTTGGCAGCAGTAGTAAATGTTAAGTGCTTCTTGTATGTGGATGATACCATATTTTTGGCTGAGAACAGAAATTACTTTCAGTGAATGCTAAATAGACTGTTTAATGCAGATTTGAAAATTGTATGATACCAAAATAATTGTGTCTAAGGGGTAAAATGGTGTGCATGATTGAAAATTATAAATGACAAAAATTAGAGCAAATACAGTTTGTGACCTATTTAGAACTCTTTGTAATCCTGCGGTACTGTGAGAGGTACAGTGTGCTCAGAGCATCATCTAAATTCTGTTAATATACTCTGGTTAAACAAACAAAACAGTACATTGTGTCATGTCTCTATCAAACACATTGAGTCAATAATGACTATCTGTAAAAAAAAACAAACTACTGACTTCCTGGGTCTGTGACCATACATTGTTAAGTTTAACCCTAGGATAACCAGCTGTCAAATGTTCCAAGTCTTGAGAGTTCAGTTATCTATGAGTTTGAGGGGACCTTTCATGTTAAAAAAGCACATTGGTTAAACACTGGAGTTTACTTACCATGAAATAGATCTGTGGAAATGAATCCCACTTTGATAAAAAAAAGCTCTCTGTGGCCTCAAAAAAGAGTTAATGCCAATAAGGCAAGGAGGGATGACAAAACCATTGTCAAAGACTTTGATTACCATCAATCCAAGAGCAGGCAGATAATGTACAAATAGAGAAAAAATGTGCTTCAAGAAAAAGATGTATAATATCCCAAGGGTGATTCTAAATGATCTGCAGGCCATTGTAGCATTGTTTGATGTCATAATGTTTATTAGTTCACCATAAGGAAAACAACAAACAACTATTCTCCAGAAAGTATATTATTACCCACTCAGGTTTGCCAAAGATGATTTGAATGATCCAGCAGACTACTAGAACAGTGTTCTGTGGATAGCTATAACTAAAAAAGAACTTTGAATAATTTCTCTATTAGTGAGAAAATGAAACATTTCATTTCAGCAGAAGAACTGAATCATGATTTTGAAGCATGACACATACTTCAGAGTTGGTTTGCAGTTTCACAACTCAGACAGTTGCAATTACTGAAAGAACAATGGATTCTGGGTTGTACTAGAAAATTCTACTGCAGCTTGTCAGGGTTTCCATCCATGAACTAAAGCTTAAACAAATGTGGGTCATACAGTACAACAATAACCCTAAACACACCAGTAAAGCTACAACATAATGGCTGAAGCAGAAGAAATTTTGCTATTTGAAATTGCTAAGTCAAAGCTCTGATCTTAACTCAACAGAAATTTTGCCGCATGACAACCTGTTTCTTGCATGAGCAGTTCATGCAAGAAACCCATAAATGTCTGTTAAAGCAGGAATGGTCTATAACAGTGGTGGTGAACCTATGGCACGGGTGCCAGAGACAGCACTCAGAGCCCTCTCTGTGGGCACGCGTGCCGACACCCCAGTCCTAGGCCTTCAGCTGGGTTTTATAAAACCTTTTTGCTTTAGGCCTCTGCCGCCGTGTGCAAAAAAAAAAAAAGGTTCAATCAATCAGTCAATTTCAACTTCTCGTGGGAAATTTTTTTTTGCAAAGTTGAAATTGATTGATTGAACTTTTTAGTCCCACCCAGTCTGTCGTTACCACCGCAGCCACGCCCACCCAATGGGCCATGCCCAGCCAATGTGCAGGAAATTACATGTGCAGGAAATGTTTAGTTGAGGTCATTGCTAACGAGGTACTACCAGCTATTACATTTAAAGCCAAAAAGGAGTATACATTCTAAAGAGAAATTACTTATATTTCTACCCAAAGTTACTAAATGTTAAAATTCACATTTTCCAATAAAGACCATGAAGATTGGCTTATTGTGTTCAGCAAAAACATGACACGGTACTTTATTTTGGGGCATTGTTCTATCAAAATCACTTTATTATTAGGACTTAGATGAAGTTTTGATCACCATTTAGGTCACAGAACCACAGGATTACAAATAATTTTAGAGGATTCACAATATTTTTATCACCATTGCAATTAAATTTATATAAATAAAATGTTTACTTACAATGAGAAAATAGGTAGAGAAATATTAGTATGTGCAAATGCTGGTGAAAACATAATGGGTAGTACAATGTTTGTTGTGAGGAATGAGTTTTGAAAGAAGAAACAACTGCTTGTCTATAAGAACATATTTTTGCCCACTTGGCAATATGGAAATTAGAACTGGGGAAAAATCTAAAAGCAAGTTAGTACAGTAAAAATGGTTACGTAAATATTATGCAGAATAAACAAGAAGGGATGGGGGTCAGGAATGAAATGATGTGGAGATGACTAATCAGTAGAACAGCAATATTTTAAGCTGGTTTAATCAGATGTACAGAGTGAATGCAGAGTGAAGCGTATTCTACTTAGTCAATTCTTTAAGATGACACTTAGAATGTTGCATCCAGTTTTGGTCACTATAATATAAAAAAGTTGTTGAGACTCTGGAAAGAAAGCAGAGAAGAGCAACAAAGATGATTAGGGGGTTGGAGGCTAAAACATATGAAGAATGGTTGCAGGAATTGGGTGTGTCTTGTCCAGTGAAAAGAAGAACTAGGGGTGAAATGTTAGTAGTCTTCCAACATTTGAGAGGCTGTCACAAAGAAGAGGGGGTCAACCTGTTTTCAAAAGCACCAGAAGGCAGGACAAGAAGCAATGGATGGAAACTAATCAAGGAGAGAACCAACTTAGAACTAAGGAGAAATGTCTTGATATTGAGAACAATTAACCAGTGGAAGAGCTTGTCTTCAATATTCCATCACTGGAGGTTTTAAAGAATAGATTGGACAACCATTTGTCCAGAAAGGTATAGGGTCTCCTGCTTGTGCAAGGGGTTTGACTAGAAGACCTCCAAGGTACCTTCCAACTCTTATTCTGTTAATTCTATTACTCCATTGCAGGTCGGTTAATGTTTAAATGAAGTTTTTTATAATTCTTTTCCAGCTTAGTGCCAAAGGTGCTTTAAAAAAAAAAAAGACAACTGGACTTTTTTGATTTTGTTTGTTTGTTTGTTTTTTCTAGTTCCTGAAGAAGTGAAGAAGCTTCTTGGATAAGAAGCGAAAGGTTTTCAAAGGGAAAAAAATCTAAGAAAGTCCAATAGCCTTTTGAAAAAAGCACCTTTGGGACAATCATGACCTGGATGATTGAGAATCTCCATAGACTTTCCCAGTTTAGATTCTGTTAATACAGAATTCAGAGTAAATTTAGAATTTCCAGACTGAACAGCAGGATTTTGAGATTGAACCATATGTGGGAACCACTGAATGGCAGGAAACAGACATAGGAAATCTGACTCTGTTGCCATTTTGTAGTTGCTGGGAGAGATGAGTCGGGTTGTTAATGTTCACCCAAGTACTCAAAAAAAGTTATTCCTCCCCCAATAAACAAGCTGGCCATATTTTGGGAGAGGCATTTGGAGGGGTGGATAAATACTTTAGGCTAAAAAGGAAGCTATTTTAAAAAATAAGGCAATGGATACGAGAATCTCTTAGCTAACTAAAAGCATCACTCATCACACTACACTGAATTAAATTGAAACTTTAAAAAAAATTAAAATAGGATTAGGGCTGAGGAGGCAGACAACCAGGTACTTTATCTTATTATCACTAGCCACCAGCAGAAGCACTGATCCACTGAATGAGTGCAGATTGTAATGATCCCTCAATATATCTTGCTGTCTCGTTTGTCTAGGTTGTCTTCGATAGCAGATAGATCCAGAATATGCTATATGTTCTTTATAGGCCTATATATTCCTCCTCCTGTACTCATCTTGACCTGAGAATTCAAAAGATCAAGATGATAAACATTCCAATAGTAAAAGAAAATGGGATGTTCAAGGAGAGAAACATATAAGGAATGGCAGACCCAGACATATATGTATACATATTTCCATCTAAAGCATTTGAAGCAGATTGTCCCAGATTCCAGATAGAGCAAACCCTAAGATGCTCAAAGATTTATCTCCACATACTGTCCAAATTCTTCATTCTTTGCATGAAATAGTTTGTACATCCCTAACATGGAATATCTAGTATGAACAGCATTTTTTTAGCAAGCCTGATGCAATTCAAATAATTAAAAGCAATTAATGATTAAGCAGGACTTCCTGTGCAAAAACTTTGACCTTAAAACTCGTATGTTTTAATTTATATTTTAATTAATTATAATTTATTAAATTATATTTTATTTACATTTAAAATGAGAGAAGAATGACAATTCATACAGTTTCTGAAGATTTACTTAATAAGATTAAAGGGACATATCTGGAAGCTATAGTTTTCAAAATATGTCAATTTATATCACATGATGACTGTAGCAGCATATTTTCCCTAATGGCAAATTAGTGCATTGGGCAAAGAGGGCTAACACGTTATTTGATACAGAAGTTCAGTTCAATGTCGAAGAAAGTGCAGACTGCCATAATTTATATTTGTAAGCATATATATGAGAATCACCAGTAGCTGGAAGATATTACCATGTGGTTAGTTTTATATATAGTTTTTAGTGGAATAGTGAAAATTGGAATCGTTCTTCACTTATGCTGCAAATAAAAATGAAAGTACTTACATAAAGGACTTTTCAACTGAGGCTACAACTTTGGTTAGTACAAAGCATAGCTATATAAATATTATAAATAACTTTCCAAGATTATAAAGATTTGAAATATGTTTGTGCAGAATATCTTCATTATCCTCCCAATCTGGAAATCTGAATTTATATTAAGAGAAAGTAACATTTTGTGAGCATAGGTACTAGAATGCTTATAAAGTTTTGTCTGTCCTATACATTATTTTTCTATAGAAAATAAAAATCTTTAGAATTTACAACAGAATTTTATATCCATGTATATGTGGGTAAAATTAAAATATTATCCTCATCTAAATCATACTTCTGAGACTGTCCACTTGTATCTAATTTTGCCACAAAACTATACTTGTATCATTTCTTCTGCGATATCCCCATGATATTTCCTTCATCCCAACCTCCGCCCAAGTCAGACATACTTAAAGTGATTCTTAGCGATGTTATTCTGGCACTGTCCAGGAACAGCTTCACAATGTGTAAAATCCATTAGTTTCACAAGCTGTTATCTTGAAGGGAAGTTAAATGCCTTGTAGTGAATCAACTTGCAGTGATCAGAGGCAATAAAGGCAGGATAGTGATTGACAGGGGAGAAAGCAGAGAAAAGCCTGAGTAGAATTACTATATGAATGAAGGCGAATACTGTATACATGTCCTGGGATAATGTTGCAGGATCCAATCTGGGTCGGTCACCGAGATCAGAGTTTTTGTCTTCTGAGCTTTCAGATTCATGCTGGAGCCCATCTTCAGGTAACTTTGGATTGGATTGGATCCTGCAGAATTAATATAATATCATTGTTCTATGATTTCTTCAAGTACTGTATTATCTTGCCTTAATTGTTAAATTATTCTTGATTTTTGCAGTCATGTAGTAATACTATACTTAAATCTGTGAGATGATCAGTGTTGTGATTGTTAATCAAATTCTAGGAGGGTCTGCAACATCAGATGACCATGAATTTGACCCAACAGCAGACATGCTGGTACATGATTTTGATGATGAACGAACACTAGAAGAGGAAGAAATGATGGAAGGTGAAACAAACTTCAGTTCTGAAATAGAAGATCTTACAAGGGTAAATATTTTTTTTAAAAAAACTGCAAATATTATACATGCATATTCTTCTCACAAATGCCTGAAAGTAAATAGACATTTTTCAAAATTTCAGTGAAATAGTGACTTCAGTATTACATTTTTTGCACATTGCCTGACATATGGTATAATCTGTTTTTATTTAGTAATAGGTTGTATCATGACTGTGCTTGTGCATTATTATGTTAATGTTCCTGAAATGAATATCATCCAAATAAAAACAGAATTATGTAAGTACTTATATATCTGAAACATCCCTGCAGTTATTTTAAATGGCACACTTAAAGTGTTGTTTGAAAAATAATGGAAACAAACAAAAATTTAATCTGTATCTTAGTGGAAGGACATATAAAATATTATATAGCCACTGTAACATGTTCTCCATACTCCTAATTCTTACAGTTTTTCATAGATATTAAACATTATGGAAACTTTAGTCATCACTTTCTAATAAGGTATAAAGTTTATACAGGCTTTGTTTAGTATAAAGTATTTCCATCTAAGCTATTGATAAAGGTGTTTTAGGTGTATTTATTTTCTAGAAGCCCACTTGGATATAAAAATTCCAATTTTAGGAAGATAAATTTTTAGACCAAAATGCAAAATCTTCAGATTACTTCAGGAAGAAAGAAAGAACTGCCCCCCGGCCCCCCGATGATCATAAAAAAGTAAAAGCTGGCATGCTTATGCGTAAATTGTATCCTGAGCAGTTCCTGAGACTGTCTGGATGAAAAAGCAAGTAAACAATTATTTACCCATTGTGGATTATAAAAATCCAACTGCACTTAAAATTTTCTCTGTTTAAGCAATCACAAATGTTCTTTAGTAAGTGGAATATGATATCAAAAAGAAATTGACAGTGCTTATATTAACATGTTGAAGATACTAGCATTCTGGCAATGTTTTTTTTAAAAGTCAACCTACATGGAAAAAAGTTCCCTCTGAAAACAATACAGCTTACTTTAGACTTGTTTTTTATGTAAGGATGAAAGTAGTTTGATTATTGGCTAATTGTATCAGCAGATACAGGATTAGAATTAGGTTGATGGTTATGAATTCTTGGTATATGCACATTTTGGAAAATATACAATATTTTAGTTATAGTAGACCGAAGTGAAAAATATTTAGGTTGTTTTCCTGTCAATGATTTCTGAGATAATTACTTTGTATTCTTGAAATCAAAGAAATAGTGAAGTGAACATTCCTGGAGAATAGCAGTGATTAGGGGATTATGAGAACATTGCAAGTTCCATGTCAGTGTTCCTCATCATTTTATGTAGCAAGTGTCACCATGAAAATGTGTGTCCCATCAAATTGGTGCAGCTTCTTAATGGAACAAAGAGCCTGCATGCCAGTCACATGTCAGTTGCTTATAAAATAGATAGCGAAGGTCAGAAGTACTGACTTTAAGTGAAAGCCTAGTACAGATAAAATGCTAGTACATATTAAAGATATTGCATATATTCAGTTCTATGGATAGTTTGATAAATATTGAAAATTGCTCATGGGGATATATTATGGCCAGTTACATCAAATTTTTGTATGATTGAATGACACATTATTTTATTGATAACAGATTAGTAGTAGTAATCATCATCTAAAAGGTGTTTTTAAAAATCCTTGAACCTTATCTGTTAGAATTTCGGAGGCTTGGAATTCATGAGACTTGGAAAATGCAGTTATGTTTTGAATTATCTTTATTTTTATTTATTAGAGTTTTATTACTTTATAGCTAACTCAAGACTGTGAATATACATATTATTCCTTCCTCCTTCTGTTTTCCCCACAACAGCAACCCTGTGAAGTGGGTTGCGTTGCGTTGAGAGACAATGACTGGCCCAAAGTCACCCAGCCGGTTTTCATGCCTAAGGCAGGACTAGAACTCACAATCTCCTGGTTTCTTGCCCGATGCATTAATCCCTACACCAAACTGACTTCTCTTTTTGTTTTATTTGCTTTATTATTGTTGCCCTTTCTTTACTATTTTATTTTTTATATCTTTACTGTTGTGTATGTGCATATGTATGTTGTGTATAATACTGTTGTGTATGTGCATATGTGTGTTGTGTATAATAATATTTGCACATAATCTATATACATAGTGTATGTATGTACATGTGTGTTATGTGTACAACATGTTAATTGCTGGCCTGTATAAATATTTTTCAGGATGAAAAATTACCTATTAGAACGAATGCGTTCTTATAGTACATTTCGGGCACTATAGAACAATTTTGGCACTAATTATATGGCACTAATCAGCCATGTAATTAGTGTGTAAAAAAAGATAAACCTAGCTTTCTGCAAAATACTTATAACTCTAGATGTAAATTTATATGTATACACTTGTTACTCCATTCAAAAGACATTTTCATTTGTGATAATCTGACATCTGTTGTCCTGCCTAGCATTAATTTGTTCAAAATCAATCATATAACATAAACCAATCACTTGTAGCTTTTCTTCCTTGTTACTATTATCAAATTGAGTAGTGTATGTGTGTGCGTGCGTGTGCATGTGCCTGTATGTGTCTTAGTGTTTCCTGTTCACAAAGAGTAGAAATTGCTCCATCCTGCTTTTCGTGTACCTGATTGTTACGTGGTAATCCTATCAGACAGCAATCACTATCCTACCCTGCCTTCTGCTATTAACAAACACGTATACACTTGAAGTCTGTCTCTATAGACATATAAAGTTCAACATTTGCTCACCAAGGAGCAATTGTTGCCACTGTTGATTAGTCATCCCATAATGGTTTATAATTGGTTAAATTCTTATGTCCTGTTTTAATTCTTTTTAGGAAGGTGATATGCCAATTCATGAGCTTCTTAGCCTTTATGGTTATGATGGTTCTGTACCACTACCAGAAGAGGAAGAAGAGGAGGAGGAGGAGGAGGAGGGTGAGGGTGAAGATAATGATAACAACAGTGGGTGCAGTGGAGAAAATAAAGTGAGTTAGACTTATTAATTTAAAACCTTGGTTTGCGCTTATTATGTACATATGCCTTTGGTCAGCAAGAATTTAATTACTTGAAATCTGCACTACATAGAGAAGCTCTTGTAGATAAAAGAATGTAAACCTGGTGTGTAGTTTTGATTTTCAGATTTAATCTTGTAGATATATGTGCAGGGTCTTAAAGATTGGAAGGCAAGCTGAGATTGACTGCTTCTATAGGACTGCTTTGAAGAAAAACAGGGTTACAATCGCTGTGTTCATGTTAGTGTCTTCTCTGTTTTTTGTTTAAGTAATTCCTGAGAGTTGAGACAAGGTGAATTTCGGGGGGGGGGGTGTTTATGAGACTTAATCTGGACTGTAAAGAAAGCTGGGGTTTGTTGTTCCATTCATTTAGTTAACAGTTGAATAGGAAAGAACTTAACCGTGAGGGAAAAAAGTATTTGATCCCCTGCTGATTTTGTACGTTTGCCCACTGACAAAAAAAATGATCAGTCTATAATTTTATTGGTAGGTTTATTTTAACAGTGAGAGACAGAATAACAACAAAAAAATCCAGAAAAACGCATTTCGAAAAAGTTATAAATTGATTTGCATTTTAATGAGTGAAATAAGTATTTGACCCCTTCGCAAAACATGACTTAGTACTTGGTGGGAAAACCCTTGTTGGCAATCACAGAGGTCAGATGTTTCTTGTAGTTGGCCACCAGGTTTGCACAGATCTCAAGAGGGATTTTGTCCCACTCCTCTTTGCAGATCCTCTCCAAGTCATTAAGGTTTTGAGGCTGACGTTTGGCAGCTCGAACCTTCAGCTCCCTCCACAGATTTTGTATGGGTTTAAGGTCTGGAGACTGGCTAGGCCATTCCAAGACCTTAATATGCTTCTTCTTGAGCCACTCCTTTGTTGCCTTGGCCGGGTCATTGCCATGCTGGAATACCATCCACGACCCATTTTCAATGCCCTGGTTGAGAGAAGGAGGTTCTCACCCAAGATTTGATGGTACATGGCCCCGTCCATCGTCCCTTTAATGCAGTGAGGTTGTCCTGTCACCTTAGCAGAAAAATATCCCCAAAGCATAATGTTTGCATCTCTATGTTTGACGGTGGGGATGGTGTTCTTGGGTTCATAGGCAGCATTCCTCCTCCTCCAAACATGGCAAGTTGAGTTGATGCCAAAGAGCTCGATTTTGGTCTCAGCTGACCACAAAACTTTCACCCAGTTCTCCTCTGAATCATTCAGATGTTCATTGGCAAACTTCAGACCGACCTGTACATGTGCTTTCTGGAGCAGAGGGACCTTGAGGGTGCTGCAGCATTTCAGTCCTTCACGGCATAGTGTGTTACCAATTGTTTTCTTGGTGACTATGGTCCCAGCTGCCTTGAGATCATTGACAAGATCTTCCCGTGTAGAACTGGGCTGATTCCTCACCATTCTCATGATCGTTGAAACTCCAAGAGGTGAGATCTTGCATGGAGCCCCAGACTGAGGGAGATTGAAGTTGTTTTGTGTTTCTTCCATTTGCAAATAATTGCACCAACTGTTGTCACCTTCTCACCAAGCTGCTTGGCGTTAGTCTTGTAGCCCATTCCAGCCTTGTGTAAGTCTACAATCTTTTCCCTGACATCCTTGGACAGCTCTTTGGTTTTGGCCATGGTGGAGAGTTTGGTATCTGATTGATTGATTGCTTTTGTGGACAGGTGTCTTTTATACAGGTAACAAACTGAGATTAAGAGCACCCCCTTTAAACAAGTGCTCCTAATCTCAGCTCGTTACCTGTATAAAAGATACCTGGGAGCCAGAAAACTTGCTGATTGATAAGGGAACAAATACTTATTTCACTCATTAAAATGCAAATCAATTTATAACTTTTTTGAAATGCGTTTTTCTGGATTTTTGTTGTTGTTATTCTGTCTCTCACTGTTAACATAAACCTACTATTAAAATTATACACTGATCACTCCTTTGTCAGTGGGCAAACATACAAAATCAGCAGGGGATCAAATACTTTTTTCCCTTCATTGTATATTTGTTTAATTAAAGGGGGTTGTTCACAGTTATAATTATTAGTGACTTTCCCAGTTCAGCCTCTGCCATTATCATTAGTTGGGAGTAAAATAAATGGGCAGGCATGCAGACTTGCAAGGCCCCTCCCCGCTTTAACTTTAAATACAGTCTCAGATCCAAGAAATAAGTAACTGACTTCATAGAAAATTGGAGTAGTGCTATTGAGATTGCTAATCATAATTTTAATCTTGGAGTAGAGGTATTGGATTATCATATTAGAAGGGTTCATCTTTTCATCCCCTTATCTAGGAGTATTTATTGTTCACTTCTGACCTGCCCAATATATGGCATATTTTATAATTATTGTAGTGTATTACAATAAAGGAAATGTTAATTAATTTTAGAGTACTACCAGAAATGTTGCCATGTTGCATGATTAATCAAGAGAATAATATGGAACAGTGCAGAGCACGACAAACAATGCAAGAAATCTAAGACGCACCAATAAATAATGGAAAACGTACATCCAATGAAGTACTATTTGTTGCTGAAAATCTTATTAATCTTTGGTCAATACATTTAATCTACTAAAAATATTTCCTTGTTTACATTGCTCCATTTCCCATAATAAAAATGCTATTTTGCTGTATGTTATTAGAATAAAAACTGGGTAAAAAATCCTATTAGGTTTCTCAAAGGGCTATAATAGAGCATCTGGTAAATATAGCGCCGTGCTAAGATTATACAACATCTGCTATTGTTCCAGGCTTATTCTTTTGTTCTTGTTTTCTTTTTTCAAGTGAAACAAAATTTCCCCAATGCAAACAATGTAAAGGATTACCATAAAACATTTAGAAATCAGTTTTAGAATTGCAACCAGTTTGAAAGCATTGCAGAAATTTGGAATACTTCAGATCCATAACTTTTCTCCCTAACGTTTTCCTTTTTTTCCTACTTGGGACTTTGTCCTTGTTAGAAACACCAAACTATGGAAGCTGATGGGGAATACAAAAAGGGAAAAGGTGTTGAATTTTTCTCTTTAAGGCCAAGTCCTTTCTCCAGATTTCAACCTAAGATATTAAAATGTCAAGCCAATTTATTAAAAATCATTTCTGTAATATTTAACTAGGACATTTCATCTCAGGGTTTTTTCCTAAATTGCATTGAATTGGCTTTATTTGTCCTGATTAATAAGTTAATTTAAGAGAGTCACAGTGAAACTTTGATACTTATTGGTTTCTTGGTACCTTAAAGCTACTTGATAAAACGGGGCCTGAAAACATGTGCATGCATGCACACACACATATACATACACAGAGAGAAAAACTTTTTTTGCTTTCCATTCGCAATGAAATATAGTAAAACAGAACAATATAGGTGCGTGACCAGAATGTAATGATAATAATTGTCTGGAATATTTACACATATGCACGCACACTCACTCTAAGGAAAGGTAGCTTGCCCACAGTAATCATACTCTGACAACTTCTCAGATAGACCCAGGTTGGGTTCACCTTGAAAATGGTTTAGAGATAGTTGCTTATGCAAAATGCAGTCAGGATTTGGTGACATAGATCAATGTTTCTCAATCTTAGCAATTGTTAAGATGTATAGGCTTTAACTTCCAGAATTCCTCAGACAGCATGCTTAAAGTTATGAAGGGTTCAGAAATACTGACATAGATAAAATCTTTAAGTGAACTCATCTTTTGATAATTTTCTGGTCATATTATGGCTGCCTTTCATAACTATGAAAGTGCTTTTTCCTCTTCCTTTTTCTCAGATGTTCTTGTTTTTACTTCCCTATCTAGCATTCCCTATCTTTTTTTTGGCAGTCTCTACCTAATCTGGACATCTCTTGTCTAATCTGGACATTTTGAAATCAGTCAAGGTTGGTTAGCTGCTGCCAATATTTGGGCTACATTACGTAATAGAAATAGCACTTAGACTTCTATACCACTTCACAATGCTTTAAAGCCCTCTCTAAGCAGTTTACAGAGTCAGCATATTGCCCCCAACAATCTGGGTCCTCATTTTACCGACCTCGGAAGGATGGAAGGCTGAGTCAACCTTGAGCTGGTGAGAATCGAATTGCTGGCAGTCTGCAGAATTAGCCTACAATACTGCATTCTAATCACTGGCTGTAATTCTGTTTGATCACTTGATAATGAATAAATACCTAAATTCCCTAGACTGGAATTACCTGAAGAAGTAACTTTCCTTGCTTTATTCTGCCATAGTTAAATATTTGCCACGAAAACGTTTTAGAGCACATCCTGAATAAAATAGGGAGTTTCAGTACTGATTTTAGTGGAATTGTCTGTAGATGTTGAATATGTTCTCCCGAGAGAAAATTGATATTTGTTAATCTCTTCTGCCAATGGAAGCAATTTTTTTTCATCAGGTTTTGATTGGTTGTTAGACCAATGATTTCAAAACAGATAATTGAAAGCAACTTTCTAATATATGAACACTTTGTATATTGAAGTGTTTGAGTATGCAGTGGCTACTTTGGCATTATTATATTTTGAACAGTATGTATGTATGTATGCGTGTGTGTATACATATGCACACACACACACAAATGATACTTATTTCTTTATATCCTATATAAACTGAATTTTCTAGAAAATTTATTTTTGTGGTGGTGTTGCATATGTCATTTTCTTTTGTTCAAGAGGGTCTTCAGATTAAAATGCTCTTTATGCCAATTTTCTTTTGCACTTATTAGGAGTTGCAGATTTTTTGACAAATTGATATATCAGTACTTCTAATCAGAAAGGTGTATAAAATCTTTGTTTCTGGCTGTGCTGCTAAGAACTTTATTTTTTTCTTATTTTGAGAGACCTTATTTTAGGTTAAACCTCCTCAATTATTTTTAAAGCTAGATAAGAAATAGCCCACTGATTGGCTCCACTGAAAGATATCACACAGCAAATTTATAATTAACTTTATTTATTTAATCAATCACAAAGGCACCTGAACAAGCTGGA